AATAAACCAATTAGCATCAACTACAAGGAGTAATCAACACTACTAGCAACCTACTAGCACCAATCCCGGACTTTGAGACGAGAATTGGATACAAGAGATGAACTAGGGTTTGGAGATGAGATGGTGCTGGTGAAGATGTTGATGGAGATTGCCCTCTGCCGATGAGAGGAGCGTTGGTGATGACGATGGTGATGATTTCCCCCTCCCGGAGGGAAGTATCCCCGGCAGAACAGCTCTGCCGGAGCTCTAGATTGGTTCCGCCAAGGTTCCGCCTCGTGGCGGCGGAGTCTCGTCCCGAAAAGTTCCTTCTGATTTTTTTCTCATTGAAAGACTTCATATAGGAGAAGATGGACGTTAGAGAGCCACCAGGGGGCCCACGAGGTAGGGGGCGCGTCCTAGGGGGCGCGCCCCCACCCTCGTGAGCAGGGTGTGGGCCCCCTAGCCTTCATCTTTGGCGAGGATTTTTCTTTATTTATTTTAAGATGTTCCGTGGAGTTTCAGGACTTTTGGAGTTGCGCAGAATAGGTCTCTAATATTTGCTCCTTTTCCAGCCCAGAATTCCAGCTGCCAGCATTCTCCCTCCTTATGTAAACCTTGTAAAATAAGAGAGAATAGCCATAAGTATTGTAACATAAAGTGAAATAACAGTCCATAATGCAATTAATATCGATAGAAAAGCATGATGCAAAATGGACGTATCAGCCACCCATTGGCGACCAATTGGAAGTATCTTGTATTACTATCACCCATTAAAATGAAATCAACTTTAGATCTCTGGTAGTATTTGATCTTCTCTTCTCGCAGTAGACGGGCAACCATCTCATTAGATTGATTTTTCAATTCAATCTCTTGCTGAGATAATGTGCACATCTCTGCAATTTTGTCGAGGTCATCAATGATGGCACAGAGCCTTTGTTTTTCCTTTTTATAAATTCCGTTGGTGTGTTTTGCCCATCCAGAGAGGTGTGGCCTCATGCCTCTTATTTTAAAGATCCATCGCCAAATAGGTGTACGACGACAGCGGGCCTCTCCCAAACATTCTTGATCATGTCTACGAATCCGTCCCTATGAAGCCATCCCAATTCAAATTTGAAAGGGCGTCGGGTGGCTGGGTTCATAGAGTTAGAATCCAGAATGATAGGTGCATGATCCGATAAGGCCTCTATATGCTCTAGGGCTCGCACGGTTACCAGAAGAAATTTCAGTTCCCATTCGGTATCCATTAGTACCCTATCGAGCTTCTCGTATGTCGGCACAGATCGGTTGTTTGCCCAAGTGAACTGACGCCCCGACATACTGGCCTCCTGAAGATCCAAACTGTCTATCACAGCATTGAATAGAAAAGGCCAATGAGTGTCGAAGCGGTCCTTTTTTTTCTCTTCCTGGTACCTCAGAATGTTAAAGTCCCCTCCAATAAGCATTGGGTACGGGTTATTCTTAGCCAGGTTAACCAATTCCCAAAGGAAAGCAGATTTATGCTCATCTTGGGCAGCCCCATAGAGAGCGACAAGAGTCCATGTAAAATTGTCAGCTCTATTTCCCAGGTGAAATTTTATATGAAATTCACCGATCGAAAAAGCCAACAAGTCAATGGCTGTTGTCATTATCCCAAGAAGGATTCCTCCGGATCTTCCACGAGCTGGTAGACTATGTCATGTGTAGTCGAAACCACCTGATAGGTGATCGAGGACATGCGGACGAAAGTCACACTTGCCAGCCTCAGAAATTGCCACAAAATCCAAACCGTGTTCCCGGACACAATCACTGACGTGTTTATATTTAGCCAAGTCTGAAAGACCTCTGCTATTCCAAAACATGCCTCTCATGTGGAAACTTGGGTTTGTGTTGAACTCTTCGCCTTCTTGGGCGGTTTTTGTTTATTTTTAGAGGAGTGCGATTTAGATTTTCGCAAAGACGCCGTGAAGTCACAAAACATGGACCCAGGTCTTGCATCATCCAATTCAACCTCGGTAACCTTACCAATCAAGTGGGATATAAGCGGATCATCATATTTGGCATCCGCTTCATCATCATCCTCGGTTTCAGGGTCAGGTATGGTGGTTTTACATTTCGGAGAAACCTTTAAGCGGTCGATCTCCATATGTTTAAGCACCCGGATATGAGGTGATTTTAGACACACGAATAAATGCGAAGATACCA